TTTTGTTTCGTTTTGTTTGTTTACCTGTATATATATATATATATATATATATATATATATATATTTAATAAATAAAAAAAATATATAAATTTATTTTTTTTTTGTGTGTATAGATTCTTCTGTCTCTTCTGTATGCCTCAATAAATACATACAAATAAACAAAAACATAAACAAATAAAAAATAAATAAATATAAATAAATATAAATATAAATACAAATATAAATACAAATATAAATAAAAACATAAATAAATATAAATATTTATTTATTTATTTATTTTGTGTGTGTGTATAGATTCTTCTGTCTCTTCTGTATGCCTCAATAAATACATACAAATAAATACAAATATAAATAAATAAAAAACAAATAAAAATAAATAAAAATAAATATATTAATTTATTTTTTTTTTGTGTGTATAGATTCTTCTGTCTCTTCTGGTTCTGTTGAGAGTGCTGATTTGGGCGTCAGCAGCAAAAACAAAAATTTATTTTTTTGTTTTTGTTTGTCTGTTGCTGGCGATGAAATAAAAGAAAAATATATAATAACTTCTTCTTTTGGTCCATTTAAAAAAATAAATAAAAATAAAAATAAAAATAAAAATAAAAATAAAAATATAAATAAAAATACAAAAAATAATATCTTTAGCTATCAACATTTCTATCAAAAAAAACAAAGACAACAAGTAATACATAATGCTGATGCTGCTGCTGCTGATGCTGCTGCTGCTGCTGCTGCTGCTGCTGCTGCTGCTGCTGCTCATGCTGCTGCTGCTGCTCATGCTGCTGCTGCTGCTCATGCTGCTGGTGCTGGTGCTGGTGCTGGTGCTGCTGCTGCTGCTGCTGCTGATGGTGCTGGTGCTGCTGCTGCTCATGCTGCTGCTGCTGCTGATGGTGCTGATGCTGCTGCTGGTGCTGATGCTGATGGTGGTGCTGGTGCTGCTGCTGATGCTGCTGCTGCTGCTGCTGCTGATTGTGCTGTTGTTTTTGTTTTTTTCTTTCCGTGCTGCTGTTGCTGCTCCTGCTATTGCTGTTCCTGCTGCTGCTGCCGCTGCTGCTGCTGTTGTTGTTGATGCTGCTGCTGCTGCTGCTTAAACTGCTGCCGTTGCGGTTGCTGTTACTGTTGTTGCTGCTGCTTCTGCTGCTGTTGCTTCTGCTGCTGCTGCATCCTCTGCTATTCATTTTGCTATTGCTGCTGCTGCTGTTGCTGCTGCTGCGGTTGCTGCTGCTGCTGCTGCTGCTGCTGCTGCTGCTGCTGTGCAGGAGGCGGCCTGCAATGAAGCGGAGGTGGAGCCTCTGTCTAAAGAAGCAGCAGCAGCAGCAGAAGCAGCAACAGCAGCAGCAGATGCTGCTGCTGCTGCAGCAGAAAATGAAGACGCAACAGATACAAGTAAGGAAACTGCAGCAGCAGCAGCAGCAGCAGCAGCAGCAGCAGAAGCAGCAGCAGCAGCAGCAAACGAGGCCGAAGGAAGCATAGCAGCAGCAACTCAAGACGACAGCAACAACACACAAAGCCTTTGGGAATAAATACACAACAAACAGCAGCAGCATCTGCTGCTGCTGCAGCAGCAGCAGCAGCAGCAGCAGCAGCAGCAGCAAGAGCAGCAGCAGCAGTAGGAAACGGAGCAGCAACAGCAGCAGGAAACGAAGTAGCAGCAGCAGCAGCAACAGCAGCAAGACCAGCAGCAGCAGCAAAAAACAACAACACCACCAAGAGCAGCACCAGTAGTAGCAGCGGCAGCAGCAGCAAGAGCAGCAGCAGCAGCAACAGCAGCAACAGTAGCAGCAGGTAGTGGCATCAGCTGCAATACCTGCAGCAGCACCAACAGCAACTGCAGCAGCAGCACCAACAGCAGCAGCAGCAGCACCAACAGCAACTGCAGCAGCAGCACCAACAGCAGCAGCAGCAGCAGCAGCAGCAGCAGCAATAGCAGCAGCAGCAGCAGCAGCAATAGCAGCAGCAGCAGCAGCAGCAGCAGCAGTTTGCTAAAAAGCTGGGGTGTCTGTACACCCTAACTATGTTCACAGAACTCAACTTTTGGCTTCATACATACATACTTCTCTTTTTTTATATTTATATATATTTTTATTTATATATATATATATATATATATATATATATATATATATATATATATATATATATA